TTTATCCTATCAGATTAAAATAAATTAACATGTTCTAAAAATAATTCTAAGATTCGGTCCGAGTATAGTCTATAGTGAAGTCCTTGCCTTCTTGGCCTCTAACTACCTAACTTCTGTCCTTGCGAAGGAGTGACTACCTTCCATAAGGTGAGCTAATCTCAGAAAACTAATAATTTTTATTCTGCAAGAGAGGACCCATTTTTTATTGCTTCACGCATTGGTTTGAAGTGCATATTTGGACATGACGTTTTCCAACAACCTAAATTCATACCACACGGTATGAACAGAAAAGCAGTAGGTGAGGGGTTGATTAGAAATAACTTAATGCCATTCAAATTCAAATGTGCATAGAAAACTCAACAATTCTGAGAACGTTTCGAAACCGGTTTAGAACTCCTAAATTAACAAGGTGGTGATGAAAAACTTGAAAAGCAGCCTGGAGACGTCGAAGGGAAGACACTAGGATTTCATTCTCGCATTAATCCTTCCGAGATTTGGGTTTGGCGGATTTCGCTGGTTTGATTATGTAACCAAGGAGGATCAGCACTATGGGCAGGATGGTACCAACGTAATACACACTCCCGTACGAAGCTAGTGTTTCATGCAGGCTCAATACCTGTCCCACGCAAGAAAATGTGAATTAGAAACTTATAAGCACTAAAAATTGGCTTTCAAATAGAGAGAGACAGAGAGAGATGACTCACAATAAAGCCAACACAGGAGTAGTTCAGAACCAAAAGGGTGTAAGCAAAGTTCATGAGAACTAGTATCTTCTTGACAAGGGCTAGCTTAGGAGGTACGGATTGCTGCCATCTGTAAACGACTGCTTGCAAAAACAGTAACACAGGAAAAGCAAAAAGAAATCGTTAATTATCCGAAGAAAGAACGGTACCAAGAAAGGCAGCCATAACTACCTCTTGAACCAGCAATCATCAATGCAGACTGAACAAAGAATATGATGTAGCCTGGATATAATCCCTGCAATTATAAAGGAAAAACAAAAAGGGAAGAATTAAATTTAAGACCATTAATGATGAAAAGACAGTTACCAATTATGTGGCAAAATCGTAATTCTATTTTTTCATTCAGTAATGACAATGTATTTGAGTACAAGGTTTTAGTATTGGGGTGGTAAAAGTACAACATTAAATAACAGAATTGATAGGTAAACATGGTCAGAAACTGTGTGGTATAAATAGATCATGATTACCGTTAGAAAACAGTACATAAGGAGGGAAAAAAAAAACATATACAAGTCAAAGTAAGATAATACTCACGTGCCAAACAGCACTGACAGTCTGCGTAGCCAACAACTGGAAGAAGCCGGGTTTCTTCCCCTTCTGAACAAGCCTATCATAAACATCTACACCAGCAAGATGTACAAGTTAATGCTACTTAATAAAAGGTCATCTCCTGGTGAATTGATTTACGATTCACTAACATATGCTCGACTAGTGAAGGCCACCGACGTCTAATGAACCGGGGCTTGTTTGGTTCAACAACTCAAACTATGGAGATTTAAACCTTGTTGGTATAACTGTAAAACTGTGGTAATTCAAACTGTGATCCGAACTGTTGTTTAGATATACAAATAAATTATAATTTGCATAGGGAATAAAATCCGAACTGTGTTTGGATAAAGTGTTAGAAACTGTCATTAGAGTTTTGTAACAAATCTTATAAAGCCTCATTATAAATGACATTAAAAATGAAGGCGGGCCTTGGCACCGTGGTGGGAGCGCTTGTGTTTGCACCCGGAGTCCAAGGTTCGAATCCCGGAAACGGCCTCTCCTTCGGGGGGTAAGGCCGCGTACATATGAGATTGAGCTTTCTCCCGAGCCTGTCATAGTACGGGAGCCTCTTTGGCACTGGGGTCCACCTTTTTTTATAAATGACATTAAAAATATGCAATATGAGTGGGGATTTATCCTCTCTTCATTATGAACACATTAAAAAAAATCACCTCAATCAGAAGTAAAACGAAGAAGTTATGAAATTTTTAAAATTGAAATTGAAGAGAGAGAAAAAGTAAAATCTAGAACTATTGGAACGTTGACAACAATTCGGACTGTTAGAATATTAGGAGGGGGGAGGTGAATTCTAAAATCAACAATTTGAGTTGTCCTTGAAGCATTGTTAATGGTTCGAATTGTCTTTGAATTTTTCTCTCCCAAACACCAGTTTGAATCCTGAACTAAGGTTTGAATTCTAAACAACAGTTTGAGTTGTTAAAACAAACAGGGACTAAAACATTACAGTTTAGGTCAACACAATTGATGTACTATTCACTCACAATGCTTGAATATTAAAGCGAGTTAAGTCTAAGTAAACCCAACTGACATCAATAGAGCACATTAATATACTGCAATTGGAGGTGGCACGAAATATTGAGTTAATTTTTGCAACTATTTTGCACTTTTAGTTGCTTGTCTCTTTTAATACGGCATGTTTAAATAATTATAAATATTATCATTAAAATCTTAGCTGCTGGCTATAAAGGACAAACCAACCAACCAACCTGATAACAATGAACAGCTGTTGGAAACAGATTTGTTCATTTGTTCTTTTTCAAATAAATAAACAAACATATTTAATGTTCAATGGTTTCATATCAGGAAAAATTATTTGTTCAATCATTTTTCAATAGCGGTCACAAAAATCAAATGAACAATCATATTTGAATTACGAAAAACCCCAGTTCACTTCCATCATGACTTGTTTTTTTTCTTAGTCCAGTGATGTTATATCATGCTTTGCGGTCCCATTCTGAATGGTGTCAAAGTATAGCTGAGACAATAAAGATGAAAATAGCAAACTAAACCTCAGAAATGAAAGGGGGAAGAAAAACTTACAATGACGAAGCCAGGTGCTGACTTGTATATTCCACACAAGAGGCAACTCAACTGAACTCTTTGCTAACTCAACACCTAGAATATCAACATTTTTTGCACGATCCCATCGCGCCTTTGGCGGCGAAGAGTCGGTCCAGCCGCTGAAGCCAAGGCTGGAAATAATGATGGAGGCCTCTGAAATTGACCAGATAAAATAATATTTCCAACGTGCTGTAAACCCAGACATGTACTGGTAGCCCAACCGTTTCCAGAATCCCCATCCTTGGTATATTTCATCAGTGAATCGGGACAGAGGAAAATGTGGTACCAGGTACAAATACAAGCCCATACAAACTGCAGCTTGGAGTAGGGCGCGAATCGTTGCCCCATATGGTGATGGTGACAGTCCTTTTTCTGACTTGTTCCAAATCTAGAATACAATTATCCGAAGAAAAAGTCTTAGTCTGCTTCAAAATAAGAAACATATAAGCTATATTATATGCATTAAAAACCATACCCCCTTTCCTTCAGTCCAGTCAAGGTAATCCTTCGTTTCATAAACAGGACCAGCAAAGTGGCTACCACTGCAAAGGCAGTAGCCAAAGTATTCAATCAGTGAAGGTAATTTAACCAACCGGTTTTTCTTCTGAGCCTCACGTAAATCTTCCTCTTTTAATAATCCATCATTGTAGTTTATGGCACATGAGATAACTTTGAGCGTTAATACCATTAAGGCTCCTAAATAAAAGAAGAAAAATCATGGTTAGCCAAGAGAAAAAGATCTCAAATTTTACACGAACAAAATCATCAATACTTTTAATTGCAGTTTTCTCAATAGAAGAATGATTTGCATGTCAAAATTGGGCTAGTATTCATCAATTTAAATAAATTTAGCTTCAACTGACCAAGATACTTAATGGAAGTACGTAGATAGATAATTATTTGTTTCATCACTAAACAATGTCAAGTACAAAGCTAAAACTCGGAGGAAAAAAAAGGGAAGAAAGAAAGAAAGAAAGAAAGAAAGAGTACAAAGCTGAGATATTACTCACCAGTTGCATCAATTCCTCCTTCCTTCCATGCGTCCCCACTCATGTAATAGACATGACTACCCCCACAAAAAAAAAAAAAAAAAAAAAAAAAAAAAAAAAAAAAAAAAAAGAAGAAGAAGAAGAAGAAGAAGAATGGTCAAGATTTATGAGGCAAAAGGCAAAAAAAAGAAAAAAAAAAACATATATGGCGAAGCCTTTCCATAGACGCTTTACTGCCACTTCAGAATCATTAAGGGGAAAAAAGAAAACAATAAAGAGAAAGAAGGGTGAGTTGTCTTAGCAGATGCATGTCAGCTCAAGAAAATCCATTCCAACACAGACATAGTTGTAGGTGAAAAGACCATGCAGTCAAATAACACTTAACACAAATTCAAACCAATCAACAATTCAATTGCATGCAGGTAATAAATTTATGGTTCAACTATCAACTCCAATATCAATCCAGAACAGAGTAGTTCCACTAATTACAAGAAATCAGACGCTAATGCAGCATAATTACAGCCATCCAAGTGCCGTTTTTGTTGCATGCACAGACTCGCATGCCAACAAAAGCCTCAAAAGAAAGCAAAAGAAGCTCTTTTACAACAACATTACCAACAATTTCTCACCAATCCAACAACTAGCTAAACAAGCACAGTTCTCCAAATTTACAAATCAAAAAGCGATCTTTGAGATTCAAACAGAAAAATTACCATCCAATCAGATATCCGAATCCAAGGAAGAACGTGATGATGCCGCACCGGCGGCGATACAACACCATGGAAGCGTAACCTAGCAGCATCGGGACGAGGAAATGCAGATTGGAGGAGAATCCGAAGGAGAGATAGGATAGAATAGCTCCGGAAAGCGCCGCGTAGAGGTGCTTGGCGTGTTGACCAGGAATGAATCGCCAGAGGAAGCTCACGGGAATGGTCGCCACGAAGCAGAGGAGGAACCGGAAAACCGCGACCGATAGTCCAATCGACGACGCCATTGATTCCATGTCGAGCTCCATGGCCGAATTGGAGAAGCTTCGCCTTCAGGTGCTTCTCTCTCTCTCTAGGTTTTTGCTTGGCCCTGAATCAGTTTCTGATTCTGACCCTCGCTGATAACTCTCAGATTCGTCTTGAGGTAAAAGTAACGAGGGCAGACAAATCGCGGAACACGGGAATTTTTTTTTATTTATAATTGTTTTCGGGATTTCGGTGGCTCGATTTGGGAAATAACGATAATAGTCTCCACTCACATTTCAAGTGGTTCTCCCCCATTGGTTGGTGGGATTAGATTTTCACTGTTGGGGAGTTCGAGCTCCTTAATCACGCGCATTGAGTGCGCGTGGGTACAGTTACCTATCCGGTAAATCTTGGAAGTTATCGAAATGAATAACGTGCAGAGTTTCCTATCCAGTAAATCTTTGAAGTTATCGAAATGAATTTTTTTTATTAAGGTCAGGCGCTAGGGACGACGGTTATTTTGTCAGGTTCCACAATAGTGCTACCTAATAAAAACCCGCTCTAGGAAATTATCATTCATTTGACTTGACATGTTGAAGAAAGGTGTCATGTACTTACAAACTGACCTCGTTTATTTCACAGACTTAAATTTTCAGTTTTAAATTTTTATAATAAAAAAGTTTTTAAAAAATGTCACGTCTAATTTTTTTTATTACAGTAAAAAATTATAAGAAAATATCACATCTCAACTCAAATTAAAAACTTAAATCTGTAAAATAAACAAGACCTACATATCGTGTCAATGATAATAGCTTATCTAAGTTTTTAATTAGAATTAGGACCTAATTTTGAATAATTTTTTTTATTATAATAAAAAAATTAAATGTAATTATTTTTAAATTTTTTTATTATAATAAAATTTAAATTTTAAATTTAAATTGATAAAATAAATAAGATTTAAACCTCATTATTTATAATTTTAATTTTTAAATTTAAGTTTTGATATATAATTTTATAGGAGAATTTTTTGTTTTAATATAAAAATTAAATATAATTTTTTATTAGAGTTGAAAATCAAAATTAAAATCGAGAATCGATAAAATAAACAGAGGTAAGAATCTCACCCTCGGACTCACAGTCCCTCGTCTTCTCTCAAAGTTTCAGACCCCAAACCCTAGCCGCTTCTCCTCGCCGCCGTATAGCCCAATTCCTCCTTTTTTTCTTCTTCTTTCTTTTCACTTTTTGTTGTTAATTTCGCTGAGTTGTTTGTGATGCTAGTAATTTTCTCCACTTCGTTCTGGCGAATTCGTCCAAATTGATATTCCATGAGATTGTTTTTGCACATGATTTCAAAATAATTTTCTTCAATTTCTCATATTTTCCTAATTATTGCACTATTGGATTGTGTTTCTTACTCCGTTTTTCTCTTTAACAGTAACTTAGTACTATTTAAGTTATGAAGAAGAACCCTCGCAGCAAAATTGAGACTCCGACCGAATTGGAGCTTAGCGATAGCGAGGAAGAACCCGAATCGTCATCTTCTTCTGAAGAGGTGGACAATCGCAAAAGGTCTAACCTTTTTTGTTAATTTCGATGAATTATTAAGGTAAAATCTGTTTTTTTTTTTCTTTTTTGGGTGGTAGGAGGAGGAGGATGAGATAGAACGCGAGTTAGCGGATGTGACATTCGAGGAACTGCAAAAAGCGCGCTCTAACGGGTCGCATTCGATTTACAGAAAGGATAACAAAGAGAAGAAGACTGGGCGTGCTAACAAGAATAGGTAATTTGAACTTTGGACATTTAAAAAATTGGTATTTTTTATGGTGATTTGTTTTTTCAATTGTTGTTTAAGTAATCATCTGTGATTATTTGAAGGCCAATGGAGGTTAGTTGTAAGAAGCCGGTCAGTCGATTTAGAGAGGTTATTCAAGTGCCTAAAAAGGTGAGTTTTGTTGATTATGAGATTGGTTATTCGGTTGGCCTTGATTAAATGCTTTGTTTTCAATTGATCGTTGTATTTTTGCCATTAAATGGATACAGTTTTTTCTGATTAGTTGATTTATTATGTACCCTAATTTGTTCTCCTGAAATCACACTCGTCTAAGTACATTTGTCCATGTAAAAATGATTCAAAATGTACCCTTTTGTTTAACGGGATTGCTAAGGTGTATAATCTTGAAATGTTATTATGATACAGAAAACGTGAATGACTCATAGATTATCTATGAATGCTTCTTTCTTCGCAGCTTGTTGATTTAAAAGGGTATTCTTTTGTTTGTATTTTCAGGTGATACGAGATCCTCGTTATGAGTCTTTATGTGGTAATCTTGATGTTGAGGGGTAAGTACTTTCTCTGTCCGTTGTACGTGTTTGCGATTACTGCTTTAAGGTCACTACATGTTCAACTTCACCAGCCTAAAAATCTGTAAATTAATCTTGCATTGCTTGACTGAAAAACTGAAAGAGAAAAATATTGTGAAAACTAAATCGGAAATTTTGTTTTAAAAGGTCATTGTTTCAGAATGTGCTATAGTTACAAGGCAGTGCATTGTTGTTTGTACATTGTTGTCTCATAAGTAATATATCCGGGGCCTTCAGGTTTAGGAAGAGATACAATTTTCTATTCGAAGAGGAATTTTTTTGCTGAAAGAGAGGTACTTTTTCTTGAATATGCTATCTTATCAACATTCGACATGAATCTCTTTTCTTGTTTGTTGAGATTTGAAATGAAATATTGCAGGAATTGCGCAAGCAAATGAAGAAAACCAGTGACCCAAAAGTTATTGCGGAGCTGAAGAACCGCATATCTTGGATAGTAAGTGCTCTCTTTGAGAATGCATTTTACCGGAACTGTTTATTTTCTTGAACAATTTATCTATTCTTCTACATCTTGTTTGTTGCTGTAGAAAATGTTGGTGCAATTGTTTATCTCTTTAATTTTTCTTCTCTTTGCAGGACAAACAGCTTAAGTCTGACTCAACAAAGCGAAAAGATGACGCAATTTTGGCCAAGCACAAGAAAAAAGAGAGAGAAGCAGCTAAGCAAGGAAAACAACCATTTTATCTTAAGAAATGTATCTCTCTCTATGCTTTTGTGTCTTCGTTTCTACTCTAGGAGTTTACCAATCCAATCCAATCTGACTCTTGCTTGCTTTTCTAACTCGCAGCCGAAATAAAAAAGAGAAGGAATATTGAGAAGTATCATGAACTCAAGGTATTGTTGTTCTCCGTTTTGTCGTGATAATGGAACATGTTTTGCATGATAAACTAACATCGGTTGTTTGAATTCTTTGTCGTCTGATCAGGCGGCTGGCAATGGGAAGCTTGAATCCTACATTGAGAAAAGGAGGAGAAAGAATGCTGCAAAGGATCACAGACACATGCCATACCGTAGGTCAAATGACAATGAAGAATAATGTTATTGAATTCTGGATCACATTTAAAGGCATTGTAGTATATTTTTTCCCTTTTTTCTTCCTTCAAAAAAAAAAAAAAAAGAAAAGAAAAGAAGAACAACAACTTTTCATTGTACCTCGGGTGCTCGATTTTGTAGTTTGTGGTATTTGCAGTTGTTGCTTGAGCAAAAGCAGGAGAGAAGAAAGTAGTATTGCTCTGTTCTTGATCTTAGTCGATCAATAGTTTATGAATATTTATCCAATGGTTTATGAAATTTAACACCATTTCACTCGTTTAAGTTAAGAATTTGAATTAAAAAAGTAAATTCATGCGAGAAAATATTTAGCAGAAAAAAATTGAATTTAAATTTTTTATGAAAAAAATAATGCGATAAATTATGATTCGAATTAATAAAATGAAGGACTTAAAAAAAATATCAATATCATCTTTAAAAAAAGGTTAAATTATGTGTCATACTGTTTAATTTAGTTTTATGATGGAATTTAAGGAGATCACAAATTATAATAAATTTGGGATTGAGGAATGGGATTGGCACTCTCATGCCTTCCATTGGAATTGAGACTCTCATTCCTAATATTAATATTAATTTACTATTATACCCTTATTTTACTTATAAATACACAATTAAAAATAAAATTCAAAAAATAATAAATGCAACATATATTTATTATTTTATTTGCCTAATATTATAATATTAGCATAATTATTGTTAACTTTAATATAATAAATATGTACTTTATTTTTAATAAATTAATAATATATTTTATTTTTTAACACTATTTTATATTTTTATTTATTTTATTTAAAATTTATTTTTATATTTTAAATAGTTGTACAATTTATATTTATTATTTTAGTACCCAATTATTACACTAAATATTTTAATTATGATTAATTTTAATATAATAAGTACACAATATATTTTTTAAATTGAAAATATCAAATTGATTTAAATGGTATATTAGTACTTTTACACTTTTTCATTCCGATTCTGGGTATAAGTAAACGTATGAATGAGATTTGGAATAACTCTGATTCTGAATCCTATCACTAAGTAAACAGCTTATTCTGACTCTGATTCCTCACTCCGAATCCTACCCACTCCGAATCCTGCCTACTCCGATTCATGCTCATTCCAATTACGTGTAGGTAAACATACCAGTGGACAGGATTCGGAGTGAGCAGGAATCAGAGTCAAAATAAGCTGTTTACTTAGGTTCCAGGAATTAGAATCGGAATCAATCTCAATCCTATTCATGCGTTTACTTAAACTCGGAATCGAAATAAACTATTATAAATTTACTTACCTATCCTTTTAGTAGATTTTTGTGTGTTGAACTTTAAAAAAAAAAAATTGTATATTATGCTAACTATCTTAATATTAGAATAACTAACTAGTAATTAGATTTTTTTAATCACACCTAATTATTCATCTAAGTTATTTTTCTCAATAAATTTTAACTCAATTTCAAGAAAAGAATATGAAGATGAAATAAAATAAGAACAAAATAACTAAGTTTTAACTCATAAACTTTCAAAAATAAGTTTCAAGTCATAAATTGAAAAATATGATAAAAAAATATTGTCAAACAAGTCAATCCTTAATCCTATTCTCTACTTGCTCGCCATTCAATCCGCATCTCTTGTGCCAAATTTTGTCTCCATGTAGTCCACTCGGTAGATGTTTCAATGGAATCGATAAACTCTGTCTCATTGTTCAATTATTGTGTTGGATCATTATCGTACACAATGTCCATAGGGTCATAAGCCATTTCTCTTCGAATAAAGTTATGTAATATACAACATGCAGAAATTATTTGTCGTTGTATTTTTATGTCATAAAAGCAATGACTTCTTAGTATAGCCCATCGCATTTTCAATAATCCAAAGCACTGCTCAATAACATTCCTTCCCATCCCGGTAGGACATATAGAAATTGCATGTCTTGTGAACAAACTCCTAAGACATTAGTAGCAATCTCATTTTTCCTTGTTCTATATCTTGATTTTTCTGCCTCTGGCACACGAACTCTTACATACGTTCCATCCAATGCTCCCAAACAATTCTACATTATTATGAAAAAGAAGCATAAAATTTTAAGAACACAAATATAATTTAAAACAAATTTTTTCAAAATAATAAAAAAAGAGAACACATACCTTAAACTACTTCCATTTAGGGTCAATTGAGTTCTCCAAAATTGGTTTTGAGTTTTTTCAAAGTTCTTTTTGACACCGAATAATTACTTTTAAACACTCGTGGAAACATTTACTAATCGTTCTTCCGGGTCTCTTAAAATTGAAACTAATCACCATGTTCTTAACATGTTCACCTTGTGCTTTTAAACCATTATCAACGTGTTCAACCCAAAAAAAAAAAAAAAAAAGCAAACCGAAAACAAAAATAAAAGATGATTTATGTCCTACCTGCAAATTGAAGAACCGGCAGAAGAGGAAAAGAGGAGATGGTAAATGGCTGAGAGAGAAAGAGGGAAATAAACCCTAGAGGGTTAAATAAAGGAGAAAAATTAAGGGTAAATTCGTAATTTTGTATTTAATATCAGGAATGAGAGTGGCAATCCGGTGGAGGGTGGGGGGAGTGCCAATCTCATTCCTCAATCCCAAATTGGTGTGGGACCCACACATTTTCACTCACATTCCAGGATATAAATGAGTAAGTAAACATAGAGTTGATTCCGAATCCCAATTCTCATTCCCTACTCCTGATAAGTAAACATGCCATAAATAAGCATATATCGGGAGGTAAAAGGTTGGATAAAATTATTTTGGTATATCTTAAAACATGCTTTTAATACTTTTTATTTTTAATAATATTAATATGGTACCTTAACTTTTTAAAAAATATTTTTTAATAATATAAAAAGTTTATTTAATTAGTTGATTTGAGTTTTAAATTTGAGTTAAGATGTGATTTTATATGAGAGTTTTTTATTATAGTAAAAAAATTAAATATGACTGTTTTTTAAAATTTTTTACCGTAATAAAATTTAAATTTTAAACTCAAATTAGTAAAATAAAGAATGCCAAATGTCGAATATACACTTCACTGTTTTCTCAATTTTTACAGGAATTCCATTTAAAATTAGAAAATATTTTAAAATTAAAAAAATCTTTAAATAAAAAAACCTCAATACATTTTATCTGAAAACGTTTCAACGCCCCCCGACCCGTCGTCACCCCATCTTTCCCTCCTCCGCCGCCGGCACCTTGAACCCGTCGGCAGCAGTAATTGAATTTTCTGGCGGAAGATGGCTCACCAATGACCAAACCCACCCACTTTCTCATTTTCAGATCAAAAAGAACACACAAACACCCACAACCCAACACACAAACACTGTCGTTCGCCGCCGTCCATCATCGGGAACCCAACATGCCACCGCCTCCTCCTTGCGCGAACCCATGTCTGGGCCGCCACACGAGCCCATCTCAGCCGCGAACCAAGCAAGGCGATCAAGTCACGAACTCAGGCGTCGTCGCCCACCTCGCCAACGTTTGGTCGTCGTGGGAGATCCAATCCATGGCCGCCTAGCCTTAGTTTTGAGTTCAATAGGGGAGGGGAGGGAAGATGAAGATGTTATCTCCTATCCTTCTAATTATTTCCCAGATCTGACCTTCTACATTTTTTGTACTCATTTTTCTGGGTTTTGGTTATAGGAAAAGGAGGAGGTAGAAATGGTCTAGCCTCTAAACATTCCATCTTTTATTGGACTATGATGTTGATTTCACAATCTGGGTTTGCGTTTGAAAATTTTCATTGCTGGTGTTCTTTGTTTTTGTGAAATCGAGTTATAAAAAGGAATCTGGTGTTTAATTTTTTTCATTTGAGATCCGTAGATTTTATTTTTCTTGGTCTTTTAGATATGATAGTAGTGCTTCGTTCAATTTAGATTTGGTTTTTTTTTTTTTTTCTTGTGCGTAGTTGTGTAAGGAAATTTTAGCGGATAAAACTTTGAATTTGATTGTTCCAGCAAAAAAAGTTGAATTTAATTGGGTTTTCTCAGTATCCATTCTCTTAGATCTGTATATCGAGGCCTTTTAATCTAACGTTTTTTTTTTAATTTTTAAATATTTGAAATTTTAAATGAAATTTTTAAGAAAAAAATTAAGGTCCGATAAGTTTACTTATTTAAATTTTTAATTCGAATTTAAATGTAATTTTATGTGATTTGATTTTTAATTTGATTTAATATGTAATTTTATGTGAGAATTTTTAATTGTAATAAAAAAAATAAATATGACTTTTTGTGAAAGTTTTTAACTATAACAAACTTGAAATTAAAAACTTAAATCGGTAAAATAAATGTGACATAAGAAAATAGTAAAAAAGGTAAATTTGAGATTTCATGTCTCAAAAATGAACTTTAAGGTACCAAAAGAATGTTTTTTTAAAATATTGAGGTATCATTTTTGATATTATTAAAAATAGAGGGTACTAAAAATATGTTTTGATATAATACAAGGTATCAAAATAATTTTATCCCTACAAAAATTTAGGCATGCATTTCCTGATGACACACCATTTGGTTCGTTAGTTTGATTTTTGTTAATTTAAATTTTTTTATTTAAACAAAAAAGTTCTAATTATATAATTTAAATTGTAGTCGGAATTGACGTTTAGATGTATAGTTAAAGTTTAAATCTAAACATAAAATAAAATTTAAATTTGTGTTTAGTATGTGTAAAAAGCAGAGAAAATGAAAATCTTTTACTGTTTAATTATTGAAATAGAGGAATTAAACTTTAAATTAGATAATTTAATTCAATTTAAACGAAAAATATAATTTTAACTGTACTAAACAAGATTTTAAATTTAATTCATAGTTGAAACTAAGCTGAACTAAACGAAACTAAGCCGAATTATTGAAACAAACAGGCCAATAATCATTTTATAAATTATAATAATTTTTTTTTTAGTATGCTACATAGAAGCTAGAACTTCTCCCTTTTTTTCTTTATTTTTTTCTTTTAAGAATAATAGAAAAAGCCCTTTTGATAATAGCAATCAAATAACTAAGGAGGTTAGAAACAAGAAAGCCACGCTGCAATCTCCAGAGGAGTACGTGGCTGGTCAACCATCGACACTTGTCAAAACCTGGCCAGGAAACCGGCCCAGCCGGTCACCCTTCCTTCACACGTAAGACACACCTCACGCACTACGCTTTACACTCTCTCACACACTCGCTGTCACTTCCCGCTCTATATATATGACCCGGAAAAAAAAAAAAAAAAAAGCAGCCCAAAATCTTCGCTCTTCTTCTTCACTCTTGTCCATGGCGGTTCCGTACGAATTCCGTACGACCTCTTCAACTTCTCCAGGCTTCAATGGCGTCTAGGGTTAGCCCTCCTTAATGACATTCTCTTTTCCTCTTCATTTCTGCTATTCGCCAAAAGAATTCCTGTGCTTTTTCGGTCGCTGAAATTTGGACTTAATTGCTCTTTTTTGCGCTTTGTTTTGAAGCTTCTTCTTTTGACGAGAATAAAATAAAACAAAACTTTTTTTTTTGTGTGTGCTCTTTTTGCCTTTTCTTTGTCTCTGCTTTAGTTGCTTTATATGAGTGGAGACTTTTTTTTTTCACCCCTCCCTGACGAGATGTCGGAAAAGAAAGACAAAGGAAAATTCTATTCTGTGTTTTTTTTTTTATTATTATTATTTTTTTTTAACGGCATTGATGTTGATGTTCGTGGACCATGCACGAATAGAAGCAAGGGCCATTTGTGTTAAATGTGAAAAAATGAATGAAAAAAATTAGACACTGTTTTGATTTTAGCTCGATCATCTGGTTCTTTTCCCGGCATCCAAACAGAAAAATATTAAGTTCATTTCGTAAATTTTGCTGCATAATGTACGTATAAGTTTTTTTTCCCCTTTTTTCCATAAATTATGAATTTTTATGGGTTTTTGTTTTTTTGTTTTGACAATTTATGTTTGTGTAGTTAATGATGCGTGTAATCTATATATAGACGCACATTCACACACACGCACATATTTGGTATTTCAAATAAAAAAATAAATTAATAAAGTTTATATATTACCGGAAGTTGATAGAAGTTTGACGAACCAAAATATATATTCCTAGTGGTTGTTCATTCTCCAGCAATATGTTCAAGACATTTGTTCTGTTCTGTGAAAAACATTTTATAGTCATTTCTTAATTCTAATGTTTGCCAGTGTGTGTTTTTCTTCATTCTGAGTCCCTTTCTTATTCTACGTCAATCCATTGTTTCAGACATATAACTTAACATGGGCCTGTTGTGCATTTGAGTTCCTCTGCAGGACATTAATCCGAGATTCATGAATGTTTGAAATGGCTCTGGAGACATTCTATGATCCCAATTACAATTTGGCAGCAGAAAATGCAGCCTTTCTGCAATCTTCAAGCTCTGATAACTTACCCGAAGAATACGAGCAATACCAGGCTGCTGCTGCTTCTCTTTTGAATGCTTCCCAAAGCTTGCCTGGTTCTAGTTCTAGAATTTCAAATCTTAATGTGGGCATAATCCCTGGAGACACAAACCGAGCTATAGTGCCGAATGCCGGGGCAAGTTCTTCAGTTACAGATGCTGCCTTTGCGTTTTCGGAGGGTCTTAACATGCATAGAAGTGCCGTTTTCATTGTACATTCTGACCCTAATTTATCTATGACTGTTGATGGTGCCTTCATTGCACAGCAGGACTCTCATTTACGACCCAAAAGGCCTCAGGTGGCTAAGAAAAACCAACAGGAGCAAAAGGGTTTTGCTACTACGTCACGTCCTGGGTCACAGAAGCACCAAAATCCACTTCCTAGTGGCGTAAAACAAGACCCCATTAATGTGACCAAGAGGTATAAGAAACCAAGATTGGACGTCAGTGGACGGTCCATCCCAGACCAGTACATTTCCCAGCAGTTGGGGCCGAGTCAGGAGACTGCGCAGTTGCAAATACGCAGTCCTACCCATCAGCTACCGGGGTTGATTCAGCACCATATGAACCCGAGCGTGAACGAACAGAGGGTTTCAGATTCTGTTCCACCACCACAATTGCATAGTGTTTTCGTGCAACAGCAGAATCAACAAATGAGGAACCAGCACCAGCAGCAGCCCGGGGTGCATCAAGTGTCTAATTCTCAGCAATTTGACGAAGGTGCGTGTACTCGGCGGCTAATGCAGTACATACATCACCTGCGACATCAGCCACTTGTGAGTGTTAGTCTGATTGATAAGATGTTATTGTTCATTCGGGCGTTAAACTTGAAGATAATCTAAACTTCTGATGTTTTCTTCTTAGGACAATAGTATATCGTATTGGAGGGAATTTGTCGCTGAGTACTTTGCTCCGGGTGCTAAGAAAAGGTGGTGCGTGTCTTTGTATGATAAAGTCGGACTTGAAGCCATGAGTATTTTCCGCAATGCACCAATGGTCTGTTTTCATGCTACACTTTTTGCCTTTTTCTGTTTTCTTTCGTTTTTCTTTGTCGAGAATTCTTTTCTAACACGTACCTTCAGGTGGATGCAGTTATTTTAACGCACAAAAGGACTATATCATGTCTTCATATACATCTTCATATTAGACGCATATTTCTTGTTTTTTTCCCCCGCTTTCAATCAGAACTGTCATTTTGCTGATTTGTCTTTGTAGGATGGATGGCAGTGTGACATGTGTGGTTGTGGATCAGGAAGGGGATTTGGTGAGAAATTTAATATTTTTCCATTAGTAAAGCCCGTGTTTTTCCCCCTTTTTTGACTGCAAGTGATTTCTTTTGCTCCTTTACTGCTTGACAGAGGCAAACTTTGAAGTACTTCCAAGGCTTAATAAATTGGCATTTGAGAGTGGCGTGATTGACGAACTCTTATTCCTTGATTTACCTCAAGAGTATAGATTTCCTTCTGGAATAAGGATGCTAAAATGTGGGAAGGCAGTTCAAGAAAGTGTGCATGAGAATCTTCGTGTTGTCCATCAGGGTCAACTTCGTATTGTTTTCACTCACGATTTGAAGGTGAGACTTTTATCTAAAGATGGTGGATCAAAGACTAACTAAATATTCACGTCATAGTCGTTGTTTTTTTTTTTCCAGATATTGTCCTGGGAGTTTTGCGCAAGCTGGCATGAAGTATTTCTGCCGCGAAGCTTGGTTGTGTCTCAGGTACTTAATTCTTTTGTATTATGCTTCAAAATTAGTGAATTGATCCTGTTTTGTTTTCTCTTTGCTGTAGTGTGTTACTGATGCCTGTTGGATCTTAAATTCCCTGCAGAGATCAATCTTGATTTGAATTCTTAAGACACGTATTGGATCTTGATTTTCAGGTGGTTCATGCTACACAGAAGTATCAAAGTTCCATTAATCATAACGGGTCTAATGGGTCTCTACCTCAGTTTTTAAAAGCAAATGGCAATCAGTGAGAAATTTGGTTTTCTTCATGTGTTTGCAATTCACTCCTTTAAGTGTGTGATGGCATTTTTGTTTATATGAAGTGGCTTTTTCAAAACTAATTGTTCAAGTCATATTTATAGATACAACTTTTTGGTTGACAAATATATTTTTAAGTCTTGTCTTTGATTAAATAGGGTTTAATCATATATGTTACTTCAGGATCCAGGAAGCCGGGTGTTGGCTTGCAAATGCTTTGGATTTACAGTCGGTGGATAATTTGGGGTTTTCAAAGAGATATACCCGATGCTTGCAGGTAATCTATCTTGTTTACATTGAGCCTGTTGCCCAATACTTTTAGGTACTTTGGAGATTTTAATTGTTTCTTTCTCAGATGGCTGAGATTGTGCACAGCCTGAAAGATTTAATGAATTTCTCCCAGAATAATCATATAGGCCCAATTGGTATGTCAATTTAATTCGTTTCTATTGATGGCTATTCATGGAGTTTTCTTTGTGTTTAGCAGTTCTTTGTTTTTCCACTTTAAATGTTATTTACACACATCATGAATACATCTTGTTTTCTTAGAGAGCTTGAAGAATTACTGCCAAGATATTGTTACATCCAAGCTGCAAAGGGCGGAATTACAAGGAAAACGGCACTTGCAGAGTCAAAATCTCCCGAAAGAGATGTCGATGCCTGTATTTCCTGTTGTTGGCATTAATACTAGCGGTGGCTCAGATATGGCGAGGGAAAGTATAACCGCGTCAGGACTGACAGCTTCCACACTGCCCGATTACAATCATAAATTGGTGAGACAGAATCCCTGATATCTATTAATATTACAGTGAAACATGAGTGACAATATCTAACCGGAAACCATCTTTTAAACCATATCAGGCATATCAGGGTCCCAAAATCTCGAGTACAAGTTTAACTAATAATTTCAAAGTCAATGGCTTGTCAAGTTCTCAGTGCGGTCAGACTACAGAGCACATGATCCAAAAGCTTCTGCAGGAGATGCTTAATAGTAGGACAGTGAATGAAGTTGAGAGGCCAGTTACAAACTTGCCTACAGTAATGTACAATAGCCCAGAAGCCGTGTCGGTCCAAGGAAACTCGTTGGGGAGGACTAGTAACTCGTGGGTTGCCAACAATGTGAACTTTTCTGAGTCTATGGCGAGCGGTCCTTCATCATGGGAGCGCCAGATTTGACTGGAAATCTTCGTTTGCGACAAGTAATCTTTTTCGGCTCATGGATATGCATGGAAGCAGTCAGTTTGTGGCTATGGTGGTTATGGTGAAGAGACGTGGCTAACGCCCTATTTGGTGAGCTTGTGATCAGATGCTGGCAAGTTGATACAGTTTATATATGCCAGGAGTCCTGATACAGACTATAACTCGGGTGTTTCTGTCGACATTTTACTTGATATGGTTATTGAACCTTAGAAGTGATTTTGAATGGAAAGTCAATAGCAGGTTTAGGGAAGCTCTATACATGATGAATTGCAAAAATATTAAATCTGGAATGTTAACCTAAGACAGATTTTTGCATATATATATATATATATATATATATACACACCCAATTACACGTCTCATTGAACGTGTCAAGTCTCTTTCTGGCTTTAGTTGCTTCTGACAATCTGAATTGCTGGCTTTTGTTTTTCCCATGAAGTCACTTGGATATACCATAAAAAAGGTCTTGAGGACTTTTTAGGGGTAAAAAAAAAACCCAAATTACTCGTGTAATTTTTAGAACACCCAAATTTCTATGTCAATGTCAAAATTTAGCAATTGGATACAAAATCATTCTTCCATTAAATCAATGTTAAATTTCGTATATGCTAATAATGTCGAATTATAATATTAACATTTGCTAAGATGCTCTTGGTCTTATTTTTAACAAGAGTTCTTGATTATTTTTTTTGAAAGAAAAATTGCATTTTATTAAAATATTGATAAACAATCGTTTTAGTATAATGCTAACCTGTTTGTCTCAGATGCACGTCTGAAGTTTGAAACTGGAAAAGTACTTTGGCATCCTAACATTGAGCAGATTGAAAGCTCAACTAGAAAAAACCCTTCTCCTTAGCATAAGCTGTTAAGTGCTGGAGGGACAGATCGTCAAAACCCACAGAACGGGAACATCTACATGGTATAGAAAAAATTCTAGTCGAACTAAGACCACCTTATCGGCATTAAACCAAACACCTAAATCTAACAAAAAATAACAAACCAAACGAGAGTCGGATGAGAAAACCACCAACCTCAATAACAAACACAAAAGTTACAAAAAAAAAAAAATCTCCAACCACTGCCAGTAGAAACTTCCGGTAAAAGACATCAGGCCAAAGGACTATTGAGGATGATGGCCATTAAAGATATCTCAGCCACCGAACGGAAAACTTCCTTAAAGAAAGTTTTTTATTTCCCATATTCAGAGGGCACAAAACTGTTTCCCTTATTCCTTATGTTGGTGCTACACAAACCAATAACTTTCAATGTCATGGAAGAATTTATAACAGGAAATAATATCATACTACAATAAAATATATCGAACAGTTTTATTTCCAAAACCCATACAAGGAAGCAAACACCCTTGAAAATGGAGAACGCTGAAATGAATAAACAAAAATATACACATTGCGATTTACTTACATAGGCTACAAAGAACTACTTAATACCAGTTCTTCCGGATATAGACTACATCTCTATAACAATAAAATACAACACCCTAATCCTATCTCTGAGAAGGTCAAGTGCAATCTAAAAGTGCTTTAACCTCTCCTTGAATTCACTTGGACATATCATTACAGAGTCTAAACAAAGACCACCTTTGGTATGAGTGCAATCAATTTGGGTCATGGAGAATTTGATCTTTGTTGAAGCATTGCCATTCTCTACAACAAAGTCTCCGACCTTGTAGATATTCCATCTTCCAGGTGCAGTTAAAAAGCACTGAGATGAAGCACTCTGGCCATCTGAAGTATGCAGCTGGAACTGCACCGGTTTTATGTCCCAACCATGGACGCGCTCGGTGTTGCAGACTCGGCGACCATACCTCTTGGCGGCCCTCCCTAACAGCAGCCTGAAGTATAGGCTATACGTCCCTGGTGGGAAAGGGAATTCGACCTCTCCGTCCACTTCAAACCACCAAATTTGCTGGAGATATGCGACAGTTTGGAATCTATATTTCAGGAAAGAGAGTTCAAATTCAGTACAATGCTTATTGTAGCTTCATGCTTTTTTCCGGTGATGAGGCTTCAGTGAGAAGCACCGGAATGAGACAGGGCAACAGAGCACAAAACAGAAAGGATGCATAGCAAAGGCTCAAGCCAAACATCTAATAGTCCTACTTAGTTTCTTCACATCCAAGCCCGAAACTCTTTGGTTTTGGAGTTTGGGAGGTAAAAACTAAAAACAATTATGTCATGTTGATAGACTTGATGATAAATGGTCATTGCTATCATTTCTATGGACTAAAGATCTTGAATAACATAAACGGAGTATTCTGTGGCAGGAAAAGAAATGGTACGAAACAGTTTTAAGCCGTAAAATCACATCAGAATCATATCACTTGAAGAAGAAAAATAATTAGTATGATAATCAAACAGAACTTGACAAAGATCCGACCCATGAAAACGTACTACTGGTGGTAGGTAATTCTTTCCCATATTACCCCCTAAAAAAACAGACAAACAAACAACACCAACATCTTGTTCACAACATCAAATCCAAAAATGGTTTTTCCTGGAAGATTACAAGAGATAAGACAGTAGAGAAACCACTAGCAGATCAAATAATTCACATACTTAAAACAATCATGGCACCACAAATTTCCATGCTAGAGATCAACATCGCACGCTAAAAATTCGATTGAAACACCGATAAAAGTAAATTAATAAGGATCACACAAACATACTCAAGAAAAATCCCGCGAGGAAATCCCACGCAAAACTTGAACTTTCCTCAGCCATCGATATTTATACATGATAATACTGATAAAAACATTCCCACTCCATTGGAATTTCAATCCACAAAAATGAAAAAAATAATAATAAATAATAAATAATAAAAATCTAACCTAGATTCTTCCGTGGGGATATAATTCCAATATCTCCGATCATCAATCCCAGTGATTGCTAACCCATTTGAAGAAACGGATAAGCAAACACCACCAGTGCTTTTGTCCAACCAAACTTTCTGCAATAAACCCAAAATCTCATATCCATGAGAAACAAGACTAAAACTAAACCTAAATTATCCCATCCTATTTGGTCGCCGAGAAAATGCACATTTAACAAACTAAAGCATAAAATTTTCACATGTCAAGTCAAAAGAGTCAATTTTGGCAACTTGAAAACATTTCCTCCGTTTCAATTTTCTCGGCAACCAAACAAACGGACGACAACAACAACATCAAAGCGAAACACACCTTGGTACCCCCATCGAAAGAATTAGGGCGACAAAGCCTCGCATAAATCTCTCTCTTACCCAAAATTTGCACCGAATCACCCAGAATCTTCCGAACGAGAACCCCATAGTTCGAAGGAAGCTTCGATTCCCAAACGAAATCCGCCCACGACGCGCCGCGAAACGCCCGATTCAGCCTCGCCAACCTGCAAATCTCCGTCGGCTCCAAGTAACCCAGAATCGACGCGACGCAACTCTCCGGCAAATCGCCGAGACCAGGCTTCGATTGCGAATTCGACGAGCCGTCGAGGTCGGAATTGTAGAGAGAGAGACTCGAACCCATCAATGGAAGGATCGGAGAATCGCAGAGACTAGAAGATTCCAAAGAAGATTTGAGATTCTTAAGGTAAGAGAAAAGGAAGAGATCATATATAAGATGTATTGTATGATGAGATGTGTGGGTATGATGGGGAAAAATAGAAGAGAGCTTTGAACAGGGACGCGTAGGGAGCGTTTGTTTCTGTTTTGTTTGTTTCCCGAGAAAAAGAAGGAAGACAGCGGTCTTTGATTTGGACGGAAAGCCCCACCCAACTACGTCCACACTCGTGTTTTTTTTTTTTTTTACCTTAAAGATATTTGGGATTTTTTTTTTCTTTCCTTGACATATTGTCGTCACTTGAATATTTGATTTTGATAAATTGTTTCTTTAATTAATTTTGTAAAGTATTGCATAATGCTTTTTAGTTGTCAACTATATCCGTATTTGTATTTGTTCATACTTTTTAGTTGTCGCTGGTTTTGGATTATATAATATATCAATTGGATTTCCGACTACGAAAAAAAAAATCATAAAGGAGAGGACAGGGAAAAATAAAAATATTAGGATTTATTATATTTTATGAGTGTACTAAAAGGAAAAAAAAAAAAAATCTGTTGTGGATGTCTTTCTGTGCACTCAAGATCAACGTTGTAAATATTGTAATTCTGTTGTTGATATTGTTAGATTTAGATAAGGACTCAGATAAATATTGAAATTATCCGTTTATAATTTCGCGGTTATAAATATTTTTGATAAAATTATGTTCTGTAAAAGTTTGTTGATACTTGATACTGTTGTAATTCCTAGCTGGTTTCGTTTAAGTGCACACTATTTACTATGTGAGAATTGAGATTGGAAATGTAAAGCAATGCCTTATTGGGACACAAATATTTATATATTATGCTTCGATTTTTGTTTTTAATTTTTCAGTATATATTAACTTAAAATGACAAGTTTTAAAAGATGTGCACACTAAAAGAATGAGACAAGATAAGCAGATTTTTTTTTTTTTTTTTTTTTAAGTGTTAGTTAACTTCACTCAATCCGATTGAATTGAATAAGTATTCTCGTTCACTTCGCGGATTCGAGTTTTCAATTTAAACTGAGATGTGACATTTTCTGAGAGTTTTTCACTGTAACAGAAAAAGTTAAATATGACCTTTTTTTAAAACTTTTTACTGTAGAAACCTAAAACTGAAAACTTGAGGCCTCATTCGTTTCGCTGATTCGAGTTTAGAATTCAAATTTTGCTACAGTAAAAAACTCTCACAAACAGTCACATCTAACTTTTTTGCTACAGTAAAATACTCTCACATAAAATCACATCTCAATTCGAATTTTAAACTCGAATCAGCGAAACGAACGAGGCATCGGTGAAATGAACGAGGCCTAAATGACGAGAGATTAAAAAAAAAAATTGCGTTTTAACGAATCAAATAAAGTTTTCCGGCATTCCAATTCTATTACAACATTTTTCACCTTCCTATTGCCTGCATGTTTGACCAAAATTTAAACAAAAAAACAAAGGTAACTATCACTGAACTTGATATTATATTAAAACTTATATTTTTTGCGGATTATAAACAAAGAAAAGGGAATTTTCATATTTTTAATGTGGAATCTCAACGACACCAAACTATATATTAAAACCAATAAACCTTGACCTGTTGTATACTATATTATATATGAAAGACATTCCGATGGCTAACCACCCAGCCACCCTGTGGATTATACACTATTAGTTGTCTTTTAGTCATCGTTCACATATATAAGTCATAGCAAAAAAAAAAAAAAAACCGAGTGGCTGGAAATCGTCTATGTTGAATTCAACTATAATACAATGGGATCTAGCCCAAAAAAAGTAATATAATGGGGAAAGTGTGTTGATCAATCATCCGATAGAATTGCTACAATCAGCAAAAAAAGGTGCAGCCATCTTAACGTGGATGTGAGTCAGCATATCCACGTGTCGACAATCCACTTTGTTGTTAAGCACCAATAGTGATTTTCTTTTTCAGGATACATTTTGGTGCTTATATAATAAAATTAAGATAACTTGGCAGACTTTTGGTTCATGAATTATAATCATGTTATTAGAATTATTTTTAATTTACGTGTATTTTTTATGAGAGAAAACACTATAGTGAACTATGAACCATGATTCAAATCATGATTTAAATTCTCCAACCAAACGTCCTTTTATATTGTGCATGGTTCTAAAGCAGAGAAGGTATAACCAATCGGTGCAATTTAATTGATGTTTAGTGAGTGTGAAATGTGAATTATCTATAATTTATTCAGTTTTGAGTTCAAATCACAAGGAACAATAAAATTGGCGATGTCAAAATTAACCACACTCTCTAGTGAGATTACGAATCCATATGCAAAAGGGTAAAACAGTTAATCCCTATTTTATTTTTTATTTTATATCTGAAATAAATTCTTAAAATTTTTTTAAAAAAATTAATATTTTGAATGATAGTTTAACATTTTAATAAACTCATATTTTAAAAATGATACAATCCAATACTAATATATTATGAGAGATTGGATATGTTGATTGCGAACTGAGAAAACAATAGCCGAAAATTACATATAGAAACCATTAATTATTTAGTACTGGATCACAAATTATTAAATTTGTTGCCTATTATTTTTTGTTGAATTATTTTTAATTATTCGTTTTTAATGATCATTTCTTAATTTTTGTATAAATAATCATGTCAAAAAAATTAGAAATAATCCATTGGCCGTGCGTGTTATATGATTAATTAATGATTTATAAGAACTTTTTTTTTTTTTTACTTATTTTACTTCCAACTTGCGGTCTGAGTGTAATCTTAAACGAATCTGAAATGATGAGCAATTCTTGGCCAATGATTCGTGTGTTTATGTTTGATAAATATTAAATTAGGATTAGGTAGATGATATTGATTGTTGATTTTACGTGCATGATTAATAATTTCTCAATGGCAGACCAAACATTATTATATATTCTTCATCTTGGTAGCCTGCAGCAAAGCCAAGTTGCTTGAATTCTTGTATTCACAACCACAATCTTAACGTGTCAATTTATATAACACAGACAAACTTACGTTCATATGACAAGATAGAAAGAAAAGAAGATCTAGGAATCAAAGCACATGATTTCATATATGGATATATATATATATATATATATGGTAAATGAAAATCTGATCTTCTGACGTACTCGCCATCATGACCAAGCGTTATATGTACTCGTCTATCAAGAAAAGCTTCATACCTACTCATTCATTTCTATGGTAAGATTATTTATATGTATACATATTGACCGTTCACTTCGCTGATTTGAGTTTAGAATTCAAGTTTTTTTACAGTAAAAGTTTTAATAAATAATCATATATAACTTTTTTACTACAGTAAAAAGTTCTCACATAAAATCACATCTCAACTCGAATTCTAAACTCAAATCAGTGAAGTGAACGATGTGTGTGCATATATAAGACTCGCAACTCTCACATTGTAAAATTTTGTGATACTAAAGTAGTACGTTATAGCGTAATTTTGAGATGGATTAAAAACATGAGATATACGATAAAAAAACACAATTATAAATGCCGGATTTATCTACAATTAAGGGATACTTACGTAACGATTCTTTTCATAGTATTGTTATTATTATTGTTTTAGGTAAAATTTATACCTAGGACACCAGATTGGATATAGGAAGTTTATGACAAGGGGCTAGGCGCAAGTGTTTGGTATGAGGATTCGTGTTATGATTCGAATCATGGTTCGTGGCTCGTTACAGTATTTTTTCTCACAAAAAACACACGTAGACCGAGAATGATTCTGAATCATGATTCTGAATCCATAAATCAAACGTCCAGGACGCATCAATAATAATAAAAAAAATGTGCACCTTTATTAAGGACATTCTCGGTACGCCAACATATCGATAGATTAAGTTTTCTATCCGTTAAATTTGCATAAAATCACGTAAAATACACGAAAATCTAACGGTTAAAAAAATTTAACATATAGATACAATCATATTAAAGAATCTCCATTTTTTAATAATTTGGGATAATAATTTTTCAAACTTGCTATTGTGCTAATTATTTTGATAAGAAACAATAGCTATACACTAGTTGGGGGACCCTGCAGCATGGCATGGATGAAAATAACCCAACAATTTATAGATCAAGAAGGCCTTAATTATTATGATTTGGTGATATAAATTCTTACTTTGAAAATTTTTTGTCCATATTGGCTATATTTCAGCAAAGTAATACTTAACGGTGGCACGAAATTGTTGGTTGTATTAATAATCATATTCCCCAAGAAAAATGTAACCATATCAATTATAAGTGATAGGAATATTAATTATGAAAGCACACTGCAAAATATCTGCCGACATCATAATATATGTTGGGGAATGATCGTTGAAGTCTCTTTCCCTCCTAATCTTGAAACTCTTTTGTGTTACATTTAACTTACTCTTGTATTGACTTTCATGTTTCAAGGTTGGAATTAAAAGAAGAGTATTGTTGTGAGTTTCATTGATTCTCATGAAAGTTTCACTAGGATATATAAGTAGTAATATCACTTATCTACCAAAATTTAAATAGTAATTGAGCATACACGTAAACGATTTGAGGTATTAACATTCTGTACTCAAATCATGTCGTTTTATTTTGAAAACGACACTAAAATTTATCACATGTCGTTTTCACATTTTACGTGTGAAAATTACAGAACTAGAGAAACGTTACCAATCGATTTCACCCTTTTTTTTTTTTAGATTGCAATCGTTTTCACTTTTCATTATTCATAATCACTTAAAAGAATAAATATTGATCGCTAGTTTTACGTGGACTTTGTATGCTTATTACGGGAAATGAGCTTTATATTTTTTTCCGTAACCTTCTCCAGTACGTCAACATATTAAGAGGTTAAATTTTTATAAAAGTTAAAAAGTATGCAGATATAATGATTAAAAAAACCTTAATTTATTAATACGCCAGATGTATCAGAAAATCTCCATACTTTTTTTCGGATGTTTTTTCTTTGCCTTTTATTTTGTTTGTCTATGACTTCACTAAAAAAAATTATAAGGGTGATTGCAGTTATAAAGGGCAATAAACGTTCAAAAATTAAAGAAATGCGCTTATTATTTTGAGCATTTATCCATTATTCCCTCCTAAAATACGTAATAATGGACAATGTAAAACAGCAACAACCATTATTCCATAC